CGGGGGGACGGGGGGAGGGGGAGGGGGACACGGTGCACCTTCTTAAATGCTTTAAACGCTGAATGAAAACGTTATTTAATAGACAATCCCTTATTGATCCCAATGGCCACACCTAATTGATGCCAGCAAAAATTAAGCCAATGCCTACAATTCAAATGATGTCTACGAAAGCAATTGGTCTACTCACTATAGATGGCCTAATTTTACAAGCTTTTGACATGGGGAAAACGGCAATATTAATCAAAATTTCGGAAAATTTTCAACTTTCCAATTGTGCCCAATGTAACAGAAGTGGTAAGTGTGGAAAATATCTTCCACAACTTCACAGTTGTACGCTTCTACATCAATTAGCACTCATAGGAAAAGAAAAGAGGTAAAGAGACGATTTATACCTCAAACAAACATTTTTTATTAACAGAATAAATCTGTTTAATAATGTTTGGTCAACCAATCATATTATCGACGGCATCTCCAAAGGTCAGTTTTCATATACCATTGTTTGACCGTGGAAATGTAATTGAATCAGCATTCCTGTTCAGGAGGGTAACAAAGTAGTGTTGAGTGTGAATTTGTTTCATTTTTAAAAAAAAAAATATCTGCTTAATGGATCGTTGGCATTCCAATCAATACTTCTATAAACCACCACCGGGATCACCAGTCGAATTCTTGCTCAAATGTGTCCACTGATGATGTTTTGGCTTGTGGTCGATCTACCCACTTCAATGCAATTTTTTCTATCACCCGTTTGAGAAGTTAGATTGGTCTGAATAGCTATCAACATTACCATAACAGAGCTGAGATAGCTAAAATGTGATAAGTAAGGCAGCTTTGTAAACATTAATGAATTTCAAGCGCTTACTTTCACATTTCAAAACTATTTATCTGCCAATACATTTTTAATCACGCTTCTGTGAAGGCTGCCAGACAGTGCTTAACTTTTAGCTCGGTTCATTGATAAGTATCTTTGAGTTGGAATAGAATGCTCTGTTTACTCGGAGAAACAAGAAACTTCAAAAATTCGTACATCGAATATCATTATTTACATTGCCACATTGCCACTCTTCTAATGCCCTGACTTGAGCACGCAGTTAGCTGGCCCCTGGACAAATCGAAGTGGTTTCAAATTGTCTATTTATTAAGGAAACAAAGAGTCATTGTTCCCAGTCACTTAATTTCCTCTTTTATAAGCCCTGACTTCTCTAATTACTTATTTATTTATTTCAAATGGCAGGCTTTTTGGTAATTATCATTAGCCATTTAGCTGACTTTGGGCTTCACAGAGGGGAGGACCATCAAAGTGAAAAAATTTCGAGTGGAGAAAGAAAATAATGATTCACAGATGTAAAAGAGACAGGCAGACACAATGATAGTGAAAAGATAAGTTGAGTACTGTGGAAGGGGTCGAATAAGACATGCAGTCGGGTCATGGAAATCAGAAGTCACCTGCCGGTTTGATGGAATTTTTTGCCGTTTGAGTATACGTTGCCCAGGGTGCACCACATTTTTGCTGTATGAGTATACGTTGCCCAGGGTGCACCCGGACTCTTTTGCCGTGTATACGTTGCCCAGGGTGCACCAGTTTGTTTGCCGTATGAGTATACGTTGCCCAGGGTGCACCACGTGATAGACTTACTTGCCGTATGAGTACACGTTGCCCAGGGTGCACCACGTGGTGCCTTATGAGTATACGTTGCCCAGGGTGCACCACGTGGAGCCGTATGAGTAAACGTTGCCCAGGGTGCACCACGTGGAGCCGTATGAGTATACGTTGCCCAGGGTGCACCACGTGCCGTTTGAGTATACGTTGTCCAGGGTGCACCACCTGGAGGTAAGTCTATCGTGAGTATACGTTGCCCAGGGTGCACCACGTGGAGGTGTATGAGTATACGTTGCCCAGGGTGCACCACGTGGAGGTAAATCTATCGCATACCTCCTTCATTTACTTATAAAATCTCCTTGTGAAAGGAAACAAATCGACTTAAAAAATATGGCCTTGTATTTTGATCTCAAATTTACCAAATGACAAGTTCTTAAAAGTATTAAAATCTCATTTTGGGAAGCCTGAAAGGATAACATATTTGTACGCTAAGACAACAAGCAGTTGCGGTTTCTCTATAACTGAAAGGGAGAAAGTCTAAATATTCTCACAGTAAAATAGTTCGATTAATTAGATATTTAATAGTATTAGCAAATTCGATTATATGATTAAACGGGAAGCACGTGCGTGCTTTCGAGTTAATCAATTAAAATTTCAATATCTCCTAATTGATAGGATCGAATCTTCCTTAAAAGCTCACATTTCTAAATCGACATCCTGCTTTTGTGCTCACCTAAAAATCGATGCAAATTGTTTCTAAATTTACAATTTTTTGTATTTATGCACATTTACCTGCTAAATACATCGTTAATTGGGCTATTCGCAAAAAAGGAGATTTTGAGGGTTTTTTCAACTGCGATCATTTTGAGTGCTTATTTTGATTTCGGGCATCAAGTTTCTAAGGTATAATTATCTCTTAACTTAAAATCTTGCTACTTTGGAAAAATGACTGAATTTTCCAGGTATTAGAACCTACTTTGGAACTTGTCACGAAAAGTAAAATTTAAGACGACAAAATTCTTAAAAATTGAGTAAGATTTTTGGCTAATCAAGTCACTAAACATTTACTTTCAGGTATAAAGTGCTACTTAAATCTGAAGAGACATATATAGTTGAAATTACTTTTAATTATTTACACTACCTTCTAACTGGACGCAAAATAAATTCATTGGGGCTTGCTTTTAATGCAAAATTTCCCACCTCTTCCAATAAGACCAGAAAATTGCTTTTGAACAATTGTTTCGAGACAACAATATCCAGTCTATCGTCTAAATATTGGAGCACATCAAAGTATGTGGCATTGGAAGAAAATTTGGGCCGAATTTATGGTGAGAGTGAGTCTTGATACAATGCGCAATGTCTTTTCATCCTTGAAAAGTGTGTAGGCTCATTTTGTTATTTCCCTTCACTTACTTCATCGTTGCTGTTGCTAACTTTGAATAGCTTTTTGTTTTACTACGGCCTGAATTACCGGGTTTTCACCTGTTTAATAGAAAATTTTCAAATATTTTTCCATCTTCGGTTTATGAGAGTCTCGTCAATTAGGTTATTGACTTATTACTTGTCTACTCATTGGGAATTGCGTTGCGATTTTCTGCTATTCTCCCATCATTCACTACTCAGTGATTCCTTTTTACAAATTAAATCAAATATTCATTATTTCAAATGGCAGGCTTTGTGAAATTTATCATTAGCCCTTAAACATCGACTTCAGCTTCCCCAAGGGTGGGGGGTACATTTATAGCAGTTAATTAATAGCAGCTCATTAGCCGTCTTCTTGCTTCCCAGTATCTCTTGCTTTCCGTCCTTGTCTTTGGGGCTGGACATCGAATCAGGTGGGTCTTCTCCATTTCATCCTGTAGGTTATATAGAGGGCATGTGGGTTGAGTGTATACTCCCAATCTGTGAAGGTGTTTTGCCAAGCAATCGTGTCCGGTACGTTGTCTAAACTCAGCAACGGCTTCGATTCTTGGCCAGACGGCTATGTCAGAGAGTGCCGTATGAGAATACTTTGAAGACATTGAAAAGAGTGCAGCTTGTGACGGTTCCCTGTGGGAGGCCTGTTTGTAAAAGATTGGATTTTGACATTTCCATATCTGACTTTACATGTCATTGAATGCTTTTATCCAGTTTAGCATGTTATTCTTAATATTGAATGCTTTTATCCAATGGGAAGGATAATGTTAACGTGGATGTTGACGTGATGGGAAAAAGGTGATGAGGGTCTTTGATTTATAGAAATCATCCCTCAACTACGAACTTGGACCCATCACTCAAACCCACGTAGAACGATGAGTCTCAGTGGTGCTTCTAAAATTTCTTCTGAAAAACCAGCGGTTTGTGACTACATTTCGTTAAGTATTTTTGAGCTTGTGAAGAACTGAATAGGGGCAAATCTGATAAATCGATTCCCTTTTACCTTCCAAAAACAAATTGCTGGTAGTTCTATAGCCGTCTGATCCTTTCAAGTTGAATTTCACTTTCTAGTCGGATCAACGCTCGGAGAGCAGCGGTCTACTTCCCTCCTACACACGACACGTCTCCCTCACCGACTCGGCTGCGTCCAAACTCTTACCAAGCCAACAACAGCAACAGCAACTCCAAATCCACCAACAGACGACTCAGGGAACGCTGTCCACCACCTCCTCAACTGAAGCAGGCACACCAAATCCCTTCTCTGGTGAGCCTACCAGAGGAATATGAGTATAAATAAATTGCATATTGGAAAGAGAATTTGAGAAATACACGAAATCATATTTTTTGAGAGAGGGGAGGGGTGTTAGGGGGCTATTTAACTCCAGAGACCGATCTTTCTTTAAAGAATAGTGGTTTCCCGTCCCGTAAATGTCTGATCTTATCTCTCTCTGCAAAATCTGCCTAGTTGATCATTCTATTCAGTTTAATCGGAGCCATTTTACTCAGTTGGGTCTGCGGAATTAGCCATGGTGTTATACGCTGTAAAATAACGAGAAAATCTTTTTTCGAGCTTCCATCAAGGAAATGTGTTTGAATAAATTGAATGAGGTACTAAAATTTGGCGCTGGGGGTTGGGGGGTTGGGGGGGGGGGGGGGGGGGGGGGGGGGGGGGAAGGTGTCAGGAGGAACAAGTAATGAAATCTGGCAATCGCGGGTCCTACTTCAGTTCCTTCATGAAGGCAATGAATAAATCGTTTTCTAACTAAGGAAATTCCTTAGCGACCTAATTGCTGCTAGCATTGCAGATTCGGAGGGGGGGGGGGGAGGAGCAGGATCAAGTTTACTGAGCAATCGGAGCTTTTGATTGGTTGGTTAAATTCCATGGTCGGTCATGACATATGACCAGTTTTTGGTATCATAGATGATAGTAGCTTCATTTAGCCTGTCAATGGTCTAAAGAGTGCACTTAATGAAATATCTAAAGGTGTATTCACAAATAATCGATTCATAAAAGGCGTGATATTAAAGAGTAAATATGCCAATCAATGCTTTGGTGTGTTATAGTGCAATACACTTTCGAAGCGCTCTACAAATAAGGTACATTTCAGTTAGGCACTTTAAAGGCCTCACTATATATATATATGTCATAGACCCGTGCATGAGTGTCAAAATTATTTGCCAATAAGCCAATCATCCTCCTGTTGTTTGCCTTTCCCTTCAGGCACCCTGCCAGTCCATTATCATGGAAAAAGGGATAGTATTGAAATAGGGTCGATGGGGTGTGATCTCTACAATCAAGGCAAGGTCTATCTTATCAAAATCGCCGACTCAAATGCTCTCGATCAGCATCAAAATAATCACTTGAAGGCCTCCCCAAATAATAACATCTACGATGACGAACTCATGAATCCCGGTGTTCGAGGTGCTTTTCATACCATCACTCCAACGTTGGTTCGACTGCCTGGATCCAACGAGCCGACCGAGTTGATGGTATGCCATCGTTTAGCTGATGATGGCTCGAATTTGTCGAAGACTCAATCAGAAGCTGATTTCGCAGCTGGCGGGAATCACATTCATACGCCTTCTCAAGCACAGTCCTACTTACTTATTTCCCCTCTACAGTCTGGAACACCACCTCAAAGCACAAACGCTGATATTAATTCGCAGTAGCTTAACTTGACTTGACGTGACCCTCTTCACCCCACCCCACCCCCATGTCTTCCGTGCCTTCTTGACAGTTTCTTTTTAGTCTGACACGCTGTCAACCTCTGCGTGCAACTTTATATACAGCCACCTATGCGTGCATAAATAACATAACGTATTGGAAGTATTGTTTCCGAAGTAGACAACAGAGATTTTGAAATAAAACATTTACATTACCAGGCATACACACATATAAACATACTCAATCATATCCAGGTGAATGAAAGATTACTTTCTTCTCCTCCTCCTCTCGTTCTCCACTTGTAAATATTTATTTATTTTATTTCAAATGGCAGGCGTTTTGAATAGTTATCATTAGCCATTTAGCTGACTTCGGGCTTCACAGAGGGGGGAATATCAAAGTGAGAAAAATTCGAGAGGGGAACAGAAGGGTGATTCACAGATGTAAGAGAGACAGACAGACACAAAGGTAGGGACAGAGGTGAGTTGAGTACTGTGGAAGTTGTGGAATATGACATACAGTGGGGTGATGGTAGTTTGAAGTTTCGAATATGACATACAGTGGGGTGATGGTAGTTTGAAGTGGAAGTTGTGGAATATGACATACAGTGGGGTGATGGTAGTTTGAAGTCAAAAGTCAACTGACGGTTCATGGACTTTTTTGCCGTATTAGTAAACGTTGCCCAGGATGCACCACGTGGAGATAAGTCTATCGCGCACCCCCCAATTGTAAATATGAGTTTGCACAATTATCCGTGGATTTTTTTACACTATTGACTCTTAAACACCGTGTAATCAATAATCGAGTATAGTCTAATTGCGCTGATAGCTCACAATTTGTCATAATTTATGGAGTTATTTCAAAACAAGGTGACGTTTTTCAAACGGAATGGCGTTTTTTGGTTAATAGATTCATCGGATGGGCAAAAATTGGTTCATTTATGTCCTTAGTAAAAAATGCTTTGGACATAGAAATGCTCCAAATAGGACGTCATCCTTGAAAAATTTGAGTTCTAATTTTTCAACTCTTCGTGGTAAGTGTCTTTGGAGCACGTGAGATGAGGACTTCTAGTGGGGTAGAGTTTTCGCGACGATAGGCAAGAATTGCGGTAATTTTCACTCGATTTCTCATCATTGTCGGTAAATGCTAGAGGCCGATTGGCAAGAATTGGGGTAATTTTGAACAGAGGAAGATAAAATTTCCATTCTGGCTTCATTGTCACCTGCTTCACGATCCACCACTAAAGTATCTAATCACAGAAGATGGCTAGCAACTGAAACTGCATTAGCTTAAACAATGGGTGTCTGCGTCGTTCCAACTCCATCCTGCAGTAAGACGTTCTGTGTAGCCACCTAAATCACTTTAGTGAGTTGGGCTAAATGCACCGTTTGTGAATAAGCAAACGGCTCTCTTAGCATCTAACATTTTAATTATGTCCCAATAGTAAAGTATATTCCTAGGTTATTACAAATAGTTGAACTTGAATTATACCAGGAGAGCATCATAATTGTAAATGATTTCGTTCATAATTCACCTCGCTGCTAATAACTTTCCTAACAGCCCTAATTGCAAGTTTAAATAATTAAAAATTTTAATTAAAAAATTTCTATAAAGATTAAGTTTCGTCAACATAACCACGTTAAAATTATACCGCTCTCGATAATTCAACCCCATTTTCACATCATTCAAATGTGACAAGGATTTTACTTCGGACTTCATAGAGAGGAGGAGGAACATCAAAGTCACAAAAGCCGAGAGGTTGAACCGAAGAGTGATGCAAGGGTATAAAAGAGTCAGACAGACACAAAGGTAAAGAAAAGGTTAAGATGAGTACTGTGGAAGTGGTGGAATATGGCATACAGTGGGGTGATGGTAGTTTGAAGTGAGAAGTCAACTGCCAGTTAATAGACTTTTTTGCCGTATGAGTATACGTTGCCCAGGGTTATTGGTTAAATGGAAAAATGCATCACTACATCATATCACAAGAGGAAAAAACGCTTTCAATCACATTCTAATTAAATATCACAGGAAAAGAAGTGGCTGAGGTAAAAGGAAATTGAAGAAGTTTACGCCTATCTTGAACGATTTTCTGTCTCCCAAATCCGAAATGCAAGATCAAGATCTCCGCAAAAATGTTGGTCATAGGGATGCAATATTAAAGATCACAGATGCCAGATTGCGTAGGAGCAATTCCAATAACACAGTGTCCAGGTATTTGATTGGATAGAACAGGTTGCCAATTAACCCCTTTCGTTTAAAGAAGACCGATTTTAAGAGAAAATTCATGATCTAGCATGACTTGACAAAAGAATGAACTTCCGTGTAAGAGCCTAAAGCATAGTAAACAAACTTTAGCCTTACTGGGGCAAGAAAGGCCAACTAGATCCAATTGAAATTATACTATCATTCAATGTGTGTGACAGAATTTCCTTAAAGTAGTGAGAGAGGGAGAGAGAGGGGGCTTAATAAGGGTTCCTTTCTACGTAATGCGATTAAAGGAGATCCTATTTTCTTGGCTGCTAATGTGGATTTTATCAAGTGAAATCGTCAATTGTTAGCGTTTGAACAATACATTAAAGAGCATTAAAAAAATTTGCCTAATTAATGTGAGATTTAGAGCTTACTATTTATAAACATTTCCAAATCTAATTTAAATTATGATTAGTCAAATTTGGTAATGATGATGTAAATATTAATAATACATCCATTTTTTGACAGCGTTGAATTAAAAAGGAATCGTTTCTTCCAAGTTCTTTTCAGGAACCAATGTCAGATTGATTGGAAAACGGGTGAAATTGACAATGATACTCAACGTCAAAAGTTGAAATGGGCATATACTTGTAGCGGATTGCAATCTCTATGGGAGATTCTCCAACATTTAGCTAGACTCCCAGAACAAGCTAAGCTATAGCCCAGCTCTAAGGGAAACAGACGTGTAGAACGGAATACGTTTATTCAATGCGCCTATTGATAGCGAATTGTTATTTTTGGCAAAAAAGATTAGTTATCAGATAAATCTAGCATAATTCGAGTGAACATTAATAGACAAATATCTCTGAGTAGTGTTCTGTAGCAGGATTTCTATTGGTCATTGGCTGTGCTTCTCCGCAACCAATCCGTGTGCGAGGTTGCAAGGCGCACCTTAAGCCTAGTGTGAGCGCCCGTGATGAAGTGTTCCACATACTATGTAGAGGACGCAAAATTGACGGAGTTCTGATAACTAAAAAATCCTA